AACATGACATAAAAGCCATTGTTGGAACATAGTGTTACCAAAATGTACTGGCTTTTCTATAAATTACAAGTTGTTAATTTAACTGATTTTTACCAATAATTATTTTATGAATACACCAAGAATTCATTTCAGGAATGATCTTAACTTTGATTGGCTCACAAAGAAATTTACCAATGTTTGACTGCCTCGACTGCACTTCTGTGTCTTTTTGTTGGTCAAGATTGATTTCACAAAATCTATTCATTTCAGTTAGCTATGAAATGTGAGGTTAGGGTAAACTATGGGGTGGGGTAATAGTAGTTGTCCAGTCATTTTTGACAGGCTATATGCTAGTCACATAATAAGTATCACACTTAACTTACTTGATAGCAATCATCACTAGTAACACCAAACCATTCAGGCGAATCCAAAAACTGGTGACTGTCTATTATATGTAACTGATGTCCTCCTTGGGAAACAATTAACCTGAAAAATTTATAAAAGAAGCAATTTAGGTTAAAATTATCCTAGGATAGATAGCATATTACGTATAACATCTAAATTAGCAACATATTATTTATAACATCTAAATTAGCATACTGCAGACAGGTCTCAATAACATTTATTCTATTCATATACTACTTCTGTTTGTAGAATGAAACTGTAGAGTTTATTCAGTGATTCAAGACTTCTAAAATTTGAGCAGACTTTGTTCTCTGTCGAACAAAGATGATGACATTATATTGAATCTAGTACCATGAAATATATTCTCTGTCAATCATTGTTAACCCTATCTGCACGGTTACCCTTTACTGTGCATGACACAAGGTTTTAGTGTCTTACATTCAAAATCTTATTTAACTACTTTCTGTTTATGTTATACCAATTAGAATAGTATAAGATCTTAGCTAATAATCCATATTTTAATAGTGTACAAATTTTAAGCTCTTAATTCTAAAAGGAAATATATAAAAAAATTATTGAATTTCTACTAGTGTAACACACGTGACAAATTTTGTCTTAGCATGTCATGATCCCCATCTTATCCATCCCCCCTCGAAAATGTACGAAATTAAATGTAAAATGCTCTTTATTGCTCAAACAGACCATAATTTTTATGACCTTCAATTTTGTTTTGCTACAGAGCTATCAAAGAGAAAATCAGACCTCTCCTGCCACACCCACCTGTCACATCCTCTCTTTCACATTTGGTTGATAGTTCTCTCTTACATTTCATTATATATTATTTATAACTAATAGAAAGTCAAGGTTTTCATGTATCAAATGGTGTATTGTATTTTGAAGAGATAACCATCAATGTCACTCTGAGTAGCAGCATCGTTCCAGTGGGAAAGTTAACAACTAACTTAGATTAATTTCTAACGGCTCTTGTCACATAGTTAGAAAGCCAGGAAATTTTTTAAAAGTTAATTTTTACTACTTTTTGCATGTTATTAGTTTATATTCTTTGGTGTATTATTTAATTAAATAAAAATTGTTAAGTGCTTTACTATAATCACTAAAAAAAAATCAGGCTTAACTCTCATGGACAATCAAGGGCAAAAAAAAACTAAGATTGGGTAAGTACTTTATTTCTTGTTTTTCATATTTATTCTTTATTTATTATTATAAATATAACTAAAATTAAAAGTACGGATCTTTTTAATCTATTTAAGACTAGAATAGTTAAAAGTAATAATAATAAGATAATTAAAATTGCTCACGTACCACGCATGCAAGCAGCTCGTGGGTGATGTAATATGATAGTGTAACATGAGCTGCATGTTCCCCGAGTGATTTACAACTTATAATGGCACGGATAGCAGTTAAACATGGTTCAAAGGGCAATAAAACAATAAAATATAATTATAATTAGATGTATAGTGTTACGAACTTAG